ACTACCAGAAGCTAATGTATTTCCATCAGGAGAGAAACAGACTGACCAAACTCTATCACTATGACCATCTAATTTGGCTTTTTATTATCCTGTTTTGACATCCCATAGACGGATAGACTTATCAACACTACCAGAAGCTAATGTATTTCCATCATATAAATTGTTAATTGTTAACTAGAAAAGTTAAGATAATAATTATAGCATATGCATTTGAAATATTTAATAATTTCAACATTCATCTAATAATAGTTTAAAATAAACTACAACTTTTCAATCCGCCCATTGTTATTAATAATTTTAAAAAAGGAATATTATAAAGAACCGAATTACCTTTACTAAAATATGATAAAAAATTCGCAAATTATCATGTTATGAAAATAATTAAGAAAACTTAAGCCAAAAAAAATTTTCTAATCAATCAATTTAGTTGGTTTTCGATAAAGGCTCAAATGATAAGGAATTAATAATTCAGAGCCAAAACGAAAAGTCTTAAGAAGAATGATGAAGTTAGTAAATGGATTGAAATAAATTGTAATTTGTTCTCAGAAATAATGTTTTTTATGTTTTATAATGCTTTATATCAAATCTACTACAATTAAATGGCCATCTTTGTTAACATTAAACTTTATAATAATTCAATGTAATTTATCATTTACCTATACTAAGCAACATTAAAATTATCAAGTAATACATTTAGATAATAAATAGAAAAGGTTAAATCTTTGAAGTCATTTATTAATACATTGAAATTAATTAATAAAATTAAATACCTTTCTCAATCTTTATAATAAATGTAGCTCTAAATATAAAATAAACAATTCATTAATATTCTAAGAAGGATAATATGGCAACCTTCCAGCAAAAAAAGTCATATTTGCTAACGTTGATTGTAAGCGTCTCAATTTTCTTTAGTTTGCAAATCCATATGTTTCTAAAATACCGTGCTTGACAATCTTTTCAGCTTAATATAACTATATTTATTTAGTGTTATAAAGGTCTTAAATTTCTAATCTGTTTAATTTTCCTTTAATTGTAACTAACATCCCTAATGCTACTTCCAAATTGCTATCATAGGTGTACTATTGTTTCCTAAACCTAACTGATCCAAAATTGCCATCAAAGCTGCTGTTCCTTTTTACATAGCTTAAAAATAAGGATTAGAAGAATCTAAACCAACTTCTTATTTGGCAAAATCTAATTTGCTTCTTCTAACCATAGAGCATACATATAGAGTAAATATTTCATATGAGGATGATAATTATAGTAATATGTAGCTATTTTATTTACTAATTCTCACGGAACTCTATCCCAATATGCCAATCCTGGGTGAGTAAAGGAGCATCTATCACTGTTGCAATAGGCTTGGACGATAGCTCTTTAGTTCTTTAAATTTTCAAAAGGCTTTGCCGTCTTTCGACTCCCTCCAAAATTGAATGATTCCACCATAGTTTTAACTACCTAATTCTTTATATACAAATCATTGTATTCTTTTGTTTTTTACATAGTTCTTCATGGTACACCAACAAAATTGTCTAAATTTACAGAAAAAAATACCTAATTCAAATAAAAATCCATGTATTGGTAACTTGGTTCAAAATCATCACTATCATTAATATTGGCTAACCCATTTAGCATGAAAGTAAATGCAACATCTTCACTTACAAATTCAGATGTAAAATAATGGCCTTGTACGTTCTAATATGAAGTTTTCGCTATGCTCTTGTAAGCGCATAATATTTCGTATGAATTAACTCATAAGGTCCTCCACCTCTTTCTGTGGTAATACCTTGACCCATATAGATATATTTTCTGGATTTCTTTTGTACTCTCTCATATTTCTAAGCTCTGTCAAAATCAAACCATCTCTTTATCTCGTATCACTGCTTGCTATCATAGTTATTTTGGAATCGGTATTATTTTTTGATGAAAATGATTCTAATAAAGGTACTATTTCCATATTTTAAAATTTATATTGATTAATTAATTCCTTTAAAAATCATATTAAGATTAAGTTTAAAATTTGGCAATAATTACCATATCTGCTGCTTGCCGTTTGCATTAAGAAGAGATATTTCTTTAAAAATGTTTTTTAATCATTTGCTTAATTTTGTTTATCTTTAAAATTTATAAAAAAATACATCTGTTAACTCTTCCCCAGCTAATCTGATTTAACCCAGCACACCAGTTAGCCTAAAAATCTTATATAATTTTTAATTTCAAAGCTATAAAATAATCTTTGGAGTTGTCATTTTGTAGTAAAATTAGCTCTAAAACTTAATTAATTTAATCTACTATTTTTTTTGATATTGTAAATTGGTTACTATTGAAAAAATTCCTTCACCGATATTTCATTTTTCACTCTAAACATATCACTCAATTCTCTTATTTATCTGCTATACTCTAAAGCTTATTAATATAACTCTAACATTTGTTTAAAATAAATTTGGTCTTCGAATTTTGCTTCAGCAATATATTCTTAAAATTATTGTAAAGTTAGTTCCATAGTTAAACCGTGTGTATATGTCATTATTCCAATTTCCTAAATATCAATAAATATAAACAACTATTCCAGGATGATTGTCAAAATCAAATGTTAACCAAGTTTCAGAGGTTTCAATAAACTCCTCTGAATTCTTAAGCCTAATTCATAAGATTAGGTAAGTATTAAGAATGATAGATTAGAGATTCTTCGATATAAGAAACTTTCTGGAGAATACATAAAATCAATTACATTAAATACACGCTGTTTGTTTGATTGGATAAATAATTTTGCAGCATACTTGAGATATTGGTAATCATTTTATTATATTCCCTAAAGCATTCGACTTATAGCTATTAATTAAGTAAGAGAATTAAGTTAAGTAGGATGAGATGTAAAAACATACTTTATTCGATTAATTTTTTCCTATAAATAAATAATAATCAAAAATTACTTTATCCTTTTTATTAAAATATTCAATGATTCTAAATTAATCTAAATACTCATATCTAGCATATTGGCTACTTATTCTATCAGATATGATTAAACTATAAAGGTGCCACAAAATTTATTCTGGCAAATCTTTTTCTTCATTGTTCAATTCATCTAAATCTTTCCCTTCATATGAATTATCAAAATAAATGAATAAGGCATTTTAGAAATCTTTGATCTATGTCTCAGTTAAATTTAACATAAGTATCTAATAATTGAAGCATAGTCTTTTTCTTTTTAGGATTTATATGTTAAAATAATTATTTCCTAAATTCATAAGTCTAATTGGAGATTATTCAAGTAAGGGTTCTTCTTTAATGAATTTTTGAATCTCATTTATTGAACATCTTTTATCACTAAAATTATTCATAAGACTAATACTCACCATTTGCTGCAATCCATAACATATCATTTTCTCTTAATTGTTTTTCCTTAACTTTCTCTGACAATAGAAATTGAGGCAAACTTAGAGATGGTAAAGGTAATCTAATAATTTTTTGTAATAGGTTTGAAATTGACCTTATTAAAATCGGGATATTTTAATTTTCTGATAAAAGATCCTGATTTATTTAAATATTTGTATTCGTTTTTACATAATTTTGTTTTAGCTATCTATTTATTTCATCTAAATCTTTTATCATTTATAAGTTTTAAGGAGGATTTTGATAAAATTTTATTTGACCATAATGAGCATAGAATGATGAGAAATAAAATAAAAAAATATCAAAATAAATCTCAATCACTTATGTATTATATATTTTCATCAAAAATTTCATTCATTAATTCTTAAATACACAACAATTCTTAAGGTAAATAACTTGCGACAAGTCTGGATAAATAAACAGCTTTTGTGTCTGCATCTAATATTCTATACGAAATCCAATAGCTTTCTTTAAGTTCTTTATTATTTAATGCCTATTCAATTATATAAAAGTAGTACTTAATCTAGCTTTTGGATAATACTTAAATAGTATTAAGTCTCTCCTGACTCAGAGAGATTTATTCTATAATTGAGTAATGCTTAAATATTTACCCAATTCTCTTTTAAATCATTAAGGTTCTTTATTGGATCATTTAAATCAACATTTTTAGAAAACCTCTTGAAATATTCAATCTAGAATTACTTAAAATTTTTCCTTTGAAAATATATTATTTTCTAAAGAAAATGTAACGAATCTATTGAAAGACATAGCTTTTTCACCACTTTCATTCGAAACTGTATCACATCTTTCCATAAAATAACTCCTGATATTCTTCTAATTTAAGTTTGTACCTTGGTTGATTTCAAAATGCAAAAATAGTTTTTAAAACTCTTGAAATTCTATCATACCATCCATATCCATATCAGCAGAATAGAATACTTCTTCAAAGTGAGCCTAATGCATCATTTTTAATTATTAATATCCAGTAAGAATTTTGCTAATGAAAAAGTCTAAATCAACACAAATCTTGTTTTTTCTTTCATAAGTGTGAGTTTTTATTTCTTTTTATATTCTATCCTTGCTCTCTAATGGGAGACAAGAATGCTATGTTTCTAGGCAGGCTAAAGCCCGATCAAGAGATATAAGAACACCTTTCTCATTTACAACTTGAGCAAGCTATATTGGCATTTCATTTTCATCAAGATTTTTTAACGATTGAATATATATTTCTAGATCATCTAATGTTAGAGGACTAAAAAGTTCAGCAAATCTATTTTTAGTTAATAATTACCTTCCAAATAAATTAATTCTAAAATTTTCTCGATAGGCAAAAATAGATTAATAAAAGTTTGTGAGTTTTTATTCAGCCATACTCTTAAATCCATAAGTATTAACAAAATGTTCATAACAAATTTAATGTAAAGGCATGTTTTTGTTTGAAAACTATCTAATTTTCTCACAATAAAATTAAGATATGAACTTTAGAACATTTATTTTTTGCATTTTAGCATTTGAGCTTTTAGGATTTCGAGAAAATTTTTCAGAAAGTTAAGAAACCAAGTTTTATGATTTCTAAAGATTTATTTGTGAAGTTGATTCAGCATTGTTGCGATTCTAAAATTCTATATGACAAATACACAAGTATACTTGGCGCCTAAGGTAATGTTACATTTTTTCTTCTTTAGGATCCTTCAAGTTTTCTCTTGTTTAGGTCTTCTAATTTACTAGAAAAAGAAGAATCAACACTTGATGTATCACTATTTTCCAACTCTTCATTTATGAATTATCTCAAAGTTTCTGATATCATTTTTATACTTTCAAGAGGTAAATGATTTTGGTAACCTGAATTTGGATTTTTATCCTTTTTCACCTTTGCAGATTTAGATACTTGATGATTATTATTTGGAACTAATTACTATTCATTATTTTAGAGAGATTACATAATTTGATATTGGTTTATTAGAAATCTTTACTTATGAAATATTTGACCGATTTGTGGCTAAGCTTCTTTATGATATTGAATCTTAGAAATCCTATGACTTAATTTAATTGTTACATCTTAAACTGAGTAAGTGCTTCGTTATACTGATTATTGTGACTGTGAATAATCACTTTCATTATCTGAAATTTGCTTTTGTTCATCTGCGTTTGTAATATGAATATTCCATTTCTTTTTAGTAAATCCTTCTTGTGATATTGCAAGTTGATTTGAAGTCATGGACCCCACAGAAATTCTAGAATTTTCTAATTGTTAATTAGTTAAACTATTATTGTGTAGTTACTCTTAGTTGATTTTTTTTTAATTTTATTATTATTTTTAATTTATTTTTTGTTAGCTTATTTAATTTTGATATTATTGTTCTTCCTAATGCTAATCAGTTTAAGATGGGATTTAGCTTGTAGCTAGAGAAGAAACTTTTCTTGCCTCTGGTTATCCTCCTTTTTTTTCTTATATTTTTTTTTTCATTATATTTGTAAACTTTTAAGTTTTTGTAAATGAGTTTACTAGATTTCGAGTTTTTTCAATGATTTATTATTTCCTTTCTTTAATTTTGTTATATCTTTTTTCTAACCTTGTATTAATCTAAAATTATTGATAATTTTTACTTTCTCTTATAAGTCTAGCTAAGCTTCAAGCTCTTAAATCTCATTTGTTGCTTCATCAATATTTTTAGATAAGCTGTCATTTATTGATTTCTAAATAATTATTTATATAATACTAAAACTATAATTTAATCTTATTTTCGATTATTTTCATCTTTTTATGCGCTATTGACCAGCAATAAGCTTGTTCTAATTTCCCTTTACATATATACAGTTTATTTCATTTTACTAGATGCCTCTCCTAAACTCTGAAAGAATTAAGAAATTCTTCTGGATCTGGGGCTTTCATCATTTGAAGATTCTCCTTAAATAGATTTATAATTAGCAGAAACTTTCATCAGTTAATCTTAAATTAACATCAGTTATTCTTCTTCAGTTTTTATCACTTCAACCATATCAGTTTGTAATTCTGTTTAAGTCTCTTTGAAAGATATGTTATAAAGACTTGAATCAGTTTACATGATTTAATGACGAGTATCGGGCAATAATAAGGCTCTTTATTGATAATATAACTTACTTATAATTAAATTAAGAAACTGGTGCATATGCTTAAGTTGATTATTCTTTTTGGATTTCCATTAAAGAATTTAAATCATCAGTTTCTGTGAATTAATTTTTTAACATATTTTCAATATCAGATGCAATTGAAGAATCAGTATCACTTTTTAATGCTCTTTGAACTTTTTCTTCAGGCTTTGGATCATGAAAGAGAGTCTTATGTTTGCCTGCTCTTATTATTTTAAGTTATTCTGGAGGTCTTGATGAAAGAAAAACAGTTCCAGATCTATTCATAGGTATTTTTCTAGGGGAACTTGGAGATTAAATTCTCTGTTAAATTAAGTGATTTTTGAATTATTATTAGTAATTCTGCATGTCTTTTTCTGCTTCCTCAATGTATTATTTGAGATTTTCAACTTCATTCAGTAAATACTTATTTGTAGTTGTTACATCGTTTAGTTAAAATCTTAATTCTCTTGAAATATTTTATAAGTGTTTATTTGTCTTTTTTAAGTATTTTCCATTATCTTTAAGTTTAATTAATCTTTCAGTTAATTATTATTAATCCTCTTTTAAATTTTTAATTATCAACTAAAAAGTATCTATCTCTACTTGATAGAGCTAATGCGTTTTCATAATTTGTTTAAGATGCGATTTCTCGATTTCCCTTTTTTCATCTAAAGCTTATTTAATAACTGAAGAATTAATTTCTACATATTAAGCCCAAATCTTTTCTAAAAGCACACTTAATTAGTAAATGAAGTTCATACCTTCGTTCAATGCAATCTATACTTATTTATCTAATCAATTCTTTTAAACAAAGTGTTAGGACATTTTAGACTTCCTCATAAAATTCATTTTGCCTTTGATCTCCATATTTATCTATTATTTATAGTACCATCAAATCAACCCAACTGGCTAGTTACTTAATATCATGCCTAATTAAGTTTACAACACTCACTTTTAAGGAATACCTCTATGAAGTTTATCTCTTGCATTATGTCTTGATAGATTGTCACTTAGACGTCCTAAAGTTATAGGTGGTTCTTTAAGCTCGGAAGGGATTATTACTTCAACAGTAGCTTTGAAAATTTCTTAATTAAATACGTTCTCTAGGAGATTTTGGGGAGAGTTACAATTCTTATAATCGAGTAGGATATTAATATGGATCACAACTCTTTAATTATCCATAAAAATCATTACGCTGCTAGGATTTCATTTTATCAATTGCCTCTAATTAATTTTATCCTAATAATGGAGATCCATAATAGGTCTACAATTAAAGATGATATACCCCTTAGGAAAGAGCCTTGTGCTTATGATTTTTACGATATGATATATTTGAAAAGGGTTTTGGACTATTAATAATATTTATGCTTTAGAGGGAATCCTGCTATATTCTTTTATTAGATAAATCTGTGCTTTTTCTTTAAGAAAGTATTGGTTTTAACATTCTAAATTTCAACTATTCCATCTTAATAAATAATAATGATTTCTTTTATAAAAATTAGTTAAACAAATGTTTTGTTTTTAATAAACTCATATAAAATCAGGTTTAATGTGTTACTTTATTTTGGTAATGAATAAATATTGACTATATTTTATCTACATTTATAAATCTTCATAAATTAAATAAATAAATGGCAATCAATTTATTTTAAAGTACAAGCAACAACAGCAATTGGAATCCATAAAAAAAGTATGTGTTTATTGGAATTTATTAGTACAAAAGTGGAAGGATCATACAGAGCTTAATTTTAACAAATTAAACTGGAGTATATTCCGAGTGACGGATAAAGTACCGGCCATCCTTATTCCACAACAATTATTGTACAATAAGAATATAAAGGAATGGTAGCATTGTTAATAAATCAATTAAGTCTTTAATGATGGTTCGATTGGAAGATTATTATTTAATCCGGTCTTAGCAAATTCAACGTTCACATCAAGTTATAATTCAAAATGCTTGTAGTTAAGGTCTTTTCAATTCAAAATTGATAACTAATGTTAATATTCAGAGTAAATTTATGGACTAAATATTAGCACTTTAGCCTCCTTAATTTTAGAATTTTAGAAATTCATGGAACAATAATAATTCTAATAATAATTACTAAAGT